AAAAAAAAGGCGCATCATACTTATATTCAACCAGTAAATCTTTTATCGAATTCAACGAAATAGCCTGTCACGGAATATTAACTGTTTCTCTCTAGAATTTAGAGCAAAAGAAAACTATATAAATTATGAGCCTTGCCCCAACAATTTTTGAGTCCAACAACTGTTTAATTGTAGCACATAAACCATTACCAGTCATTTCTTCGGCAGTGAAGGATGCGTCTGGCCGCAAGCAACAAGGCTCTCCCGTAAAATAAGCTTTTGAGAACTTTTCACATTTAGAAGAGGCGGCAGCTATAAAGCCGGCGAGATGCTGATGGGACAAGTGTTCAGCTGATGATCTTACCGTCAACAGATTATGCCAGTGAGTCCGACAATCTTCGATGCTTCAACGTGATTTCCTACATAATGCGCGTTTTATCCTGTATACCAACAGAAAACCAACTCTAGGCTGGCACACCTTCGATGCTATTACTGTAATACTCAAGGCGGAACACAGGCAACATTCAGACAGTCAATCGATTTTATTCAGGCATTAAGCTTCAGGAGTTTATAGTTCGACGTATCAAATGAAATTTGTGTGCAGAACTTTATTTTAAATCGTTTTAGACGGGCCTTCATGAATCCACAAAATAATCCCTCCTTGAAATAAATTACAGAGAATTTCTTTGTTAGTAAATGAAGTCAGGCCACAATCAACATATCCTAAAATGACACACCAATACCCTATATAGCTCAAAAGTGGGCAAAATGCTGATGGGACAAATGCTCAACTGAGGATCTTACCGTCAACAAACTTGAGTCGGCGAAGACTCTTCGATGCTTCATCGCGGTTTGACACGAGTCGGTGAGAGGAGATCAGAAAACTACAACCGTCATTTTTCAACTTTCCACAAGTGCCAATGCATCTTGCCAGCTGTGCCGCAATTGCGGTGACAACTATTTGCACTTTGGGGATGTCGACTGCTACTTCACAAACGTACCGATTGAATGGTTGGTATCCCTGTTCCAACTATACCTTCTCAGATTCTAGAAGCTCAGACGGTCTGGATGCGGAATGTGCTACATTTGCTGCCCCGCTGTGCTACCCTGGTATCTGCGAGACTCCTGAATTTGCGACCCCAACAATTACCATCTTTGTTAAGCGCATACCAGCAACCAATGGTGACCCCAAAAACGCCTCAAATGTGTGGATGCTTGAGGGTGGTCCCGGATTGGCATCGACGCGTAGTAAGTTTGATTCATTTTCTTCAGTTATCGCTACTGCTCTAATTTCACCCTATTTTGACGGTAGTGGAACGAGATATGGTGAAGCTACACTCGATGTTGGAAGGTAATGTCAACGTGTACACGATGGACCATCGTGGGACCGGACGAAGCACTCTGTTGGATTGTCTCGCAGCTCAGGTGACAACTTTCGGCTCCCCATGGGGAGACGCGATTGGCATCTCAGAAGTAGGCTCGTGTGCCAACGCGCTGGAAAACGAGTATGGTGATCTCGCATCTTTCTCGATGACGAGTGCTGCCACGGATATTTCCACATTTATTACTGAGCACTCGAACGGAGCGAGTACCATCGTGTATGGGATCAGTTACGGCACAGCGTTGGTAGAAAGACTCATGCATGTGGCACCACCTCA